CTTTAGTATTTCTCCATCCATATATTTAAAAGCAATTCTGAAGTTAGAATGTGTAGCGTATTCTCCTCGCACAATATTCTTGATTTGGTCCTCAGGTGACAGTTTTCTATCTAGAACCACCCTTAGATCATTTTGTCAGAATTTTTTAAAGATTTCTCACATAATTTATAGATTGTGTGGGGTCTATGTTCTCCTATACCACATTCCATAACATGGCATTTATTCACATTAAATTCCATTTGCCAAGTGTTGCTCCATACACTTTTTTGTCCAGGTCTTCTTGAAGGGCATGACAATCATCTAGGTTTCTTATCTTCCCTATTATCTAAGCATCATCAGCAAACATGTTCATATAATTCTGTATTCCATCTGGTAGATCGTTTATGTAGACAATGAACATTACCGATGCAAGAACTGAACCCTGTGGTACTCTACTTATGACATTCCTCCAATCCAATACCTTGCCTCTGATTACGGCCCTCATTTTTTTATCAGTTAGGAAATATTTCATCCATGTTAGAAGCTTGCCTGTTACCCCTCCAATATATTCCAGTTTCCAGAACAATCTCCTATGTGGAACTCTGTCAAAAGCCTATTTTAGGTCCAGATAGATTCAGTCAACCCAACCATCTCTTTTCTGTAAAATCTCTGTGGCTCGATCATAGAAACTGAGTAAATTCTTTACACAGGATCTTGCAAAGTGAAAACCATACTGTCTGTCTGGTATTGTATAGCTTTTCTCCAGGTGTTCTACCCATTTAGTTTTAATTACTTTCTCCAATATTTTCACTATTACACTTGTCAATGATACAGGTCTATAATTAAGGGGGTCTTCCCTGCTGCCACTTTTGTAGATTGGAACTATGTTAGCCTTTTTCCACACATCAGCTACATCTCCTGTACACATGGATGCCTGAAAAATCAGTTGAAGTGGAATGCTGAGCTTAGGTGCACATTCAGAACTCATGGTGAAACTTCTTCTGGACCAAATGCTTTGTTCTTACTTAGCTCCTTGAGCATTTTTTTCACTTTGTCTCTAGACACCTCTATGTGCTCTGTTGTTCTCTGGAATTCTTATTGTGTCTGGTTCCCTGAAGATTTCATTTTGTACAAGTGTAGTTGTTTCTCGCATCTTTGTATTGTTGGAATGTTTGGGGGTTTGGCCTCTTCCTATATGAATTCCATTTTTGTGTCTTTTGGTCTCCGGCCCTCTTGTAATTTCTGTTGAACCAATCCTGTTTCCTAGTTTTGCATCTCTGCTTTGGTATAAATATTTTTGTGCCTTTATCATATATTTCACAAACTTGACATAGTCTCATTTATGTCATGTCATATCCTAACAGTAAGTCTTTCTAGTCAAATTCCTTGAAGAAATGTGAGTTCCCCCATAATGTCCTCAACCGGAAATCAGGTTTTTCAACTGCTTCAACCTCATTTTCTTCCAGATTATAATGCATTGCATACTTTATTCCCTAAAAGACATGGTCACTTTTATCCAAGGGAGGAAGGTATTGAATGTCAAATATCTCTTCCTCTTTACTGGTAAATATCAAATCCAGCATGGAGGGAACATCCCCTTCCCTCATCTTCGTAGCTTGTGTAACATGTTGAAACATGAATGTTTCCAGGAGATTTATGAATCTACAAGTCCAAAAATCCTCTGTTCTAGCTTCATATGCCTCCCAGTCTATAGCTTTCAAGTTGAAGTTGCCGACTACCAACAGTCGTGATCTATCTTTATCTGCTCTTGCTATAATATCTCTCATTATTGTTATAAGACCCTCACGTTTATTATCCAGCTCCTCCTTTGACCATGTGTTGCATGGCAGTGAACTATATGCATTTATGATCGTTAGTTTATCATCCTGATTGCAGATCTCTAGTGCTATTATGTCAACTTCTCGTGGATTGGCAATCATTATTTCGTTTACCTTTAGGTGTTCTTTCACCAGCACAGCAACACCACCACCCTAACTAATTTTTCTGTCCCGTCTCCAACCTGAGTAGCCCCTTGGGAATATGACGTCATTTAAAATATCAAGTTTTGTCTCCGTGAGTGCAACAATGTCTGGTGTCTGCAGCTATATTACATCACTTAACTCTCAGTATCTTTAATCTCACTCCATCTACGTTGGTGTATGCAATTTTCAGGAACATGTTCCCCCTTCTCCTTATTCTTCATTCTCTCTTTCTAGTAATTTTGTTGGTTTGCCTTTTTGTACCATTTTACTGGTCTGCCTATCCCTATCACTTTGTAGAAATAAGAATTGATTTCTTGTTCATTCCTGCTCTCATTTAAACATTTTGCCTCGGCGAGGTTCAGTTTGAGCTTCTCTGTCTTCTTTTAAAAGATCTTGTGTTAATGACCATACTTTTCCTTCCTCATCTCTTTGTAATTTTTTAGCATTCCTTAACACTTTCGCGCTCTCCGCGAAGGTCACTCAGCCAACCGTATGTGCGCGCAGCTTTTTTATCGCTTAAGCGTAAAAACAAAAATGTGTATACTCTTTTTACTCTTCTGACCTTAGTTCTCATGCTACGTATTTCATTTTGGTACCAACGTGTTCGCAATAAAATTCTCTAGAAGAACATCAGTAAAGAAAGTCACGAAACGTATAGGGATACCAGCACCAAATAAATAACTACGAAGATGACTCGCCGTGAGCGCTCAACAGCAACAAAATGTTTTTACTCTTGGGATTGTAATCACCTCCACACTTGTTCTACAGCGTTAATTTTGGTATCAATGGACTCGCAATGAAATTCCCAACACGGTGATATGAATATAAGCGTAGAATAATGATGCGGCCCGCCCGCAGGAGTGTGGGAAGTGGTGAAATTGTTACCCGGTATCGGTGACGGGACGACGCACGGCGCTTTGAAAGTTTATACTTATTTCACTCTCATGACATTAATTTTCTATGTACGTCATTCATTTTTGTGTCAATGTTTTCGCAATAGAATGTTCTATGAGCCCATAGGTAAAAAAGATCAACAAAGCGTAAGTTAGAATAGCGCCAAATATAAAACAACGCTGGAACATTTCAGTGAGCGTCAAACACACACGAAATGTTTTTACTTTTGTTATGTTTGTCAAGTTTATACTTGTTGCACACAGTTATTTTTGGTTGTATATTGATCGGAATAAAATTCCCTAAACAGACATATGCATATAATACATGATATGGGGGAAGCATTACCAGTATAAACGGCTAAAGTCACCCACCTGCAACCCGTTTGGGACATAATACCATTTGATCGAAGTTATCCACACCTTTCATGAACTTATTGTACCATGCAGCCTAGTGGTGAGAAAGAGAGAAAGAGAATTCTCATGGCGCGCAGTTTGAAACAAACCCAAAGTAAATCGGATAAAAATTGAATTTTATACTAATATTTTAAAAGAGGACATAACTTTATGTCCACTATGCGTTAGCGTTAGACGAAACAGGACTCACAAATGAGTCCAATTAGCGCGAAAGTGTTAATTAATACTTCTTCCATCGGTTTGGCACTGTTTAGGGTGATCCTCAAAGGTCGACCTTTCCCTTTTACGTACTTTCCAATCCTCCTGTAGGCACAGACATTGTCTATGGTAGTAAGACCTTCCACGAGGCCAACAATTTTATTTACTACATTCTCTTCTTCTACAGCTCTTTCTGAGCTGGATGTTATCTCCTTTTCTTTGCAACCAAAAATTATCAGACTTACTGCGATCAATTGTGTTTTGCACCAATTTAGGATTTGATGCCAGTTACTTTGACTTCCAGCCTAATGTTTGTTTTATCTTGGGTGCTGCAGTGTTTAGCTTCCTTTACTGCTGCTTCTATTTTTTTCCTTCTCCTTGGCTACTTGTGCAACCCGTTCTCGCACTTTTGTATAGTCAATATTGACTTATTAAATACGTGCATATGTGACATACTAATTTATTATGAATATTTTAGTTTACCTTGAAAAGCTTCATAGAAAACACCAACCTTACCTAACCTTCTTAGTATGTTAAGATAAGCATATTATTGCTTCGTAATTACAATTATTAGTTAACCTATTATAGGTGTAGGTTAAGTAATAATTGTAATTACAAAGCAATAAGATGCTTATCTTAACATACTAAGAAGGTTAGGTAAGGTCAGTGTTTTCTTTGAAGCTTTTCAAGGTAAGCTAAAATATTCCCACTAAATTAGTATGTCACATATGCACGTATTTAATAAGTCAATATTGACTATACGAAAGTGCGAGAACGGGTTGACTTGTGCATAGGTGAGTTGCATATCTTTCTTGCACTGTTCTATTCCCTGTTGAATTTCCTTACCTAACCTATCGTAGTCATTTAAGTTTAAATTTGCTTTAACTTCTTCCAAAGCCATTTTTAAGAGTTTATTTTCCTCTTCCATGGCTTTGCAATTTGTTTCCAATTGATTCTTGTCCTTTCATAAGTCTTTCACTAACCCCCTCAAGACCTGATACTTTGCTACTGAAGTAGTCATTACTTTCTTTCAATTTGCTGATTATTTTTACATGATAGTTCACTATAATTTCTAACTTTGCCAATTTGTTGTGTAGACTGCTCATGTCAATGATTTTTTCATTGAAATCCCCAAAATCTAGTTCTGTTTTGTTTTCCTTCTTGCCGGCGGCCATCTTGAATGTTGTTGTCTGCTCTGTGAACACTGGGTCAACTTTTTCTCGTCTAATATTTTACTTCAAGCGCCACATTTGTGTTATCTCATCTCTTTTTCCAAAGCTCTACACATTTATGTTCCACTTACTATCATACTTTACATAGAGTGACATGTAAATATATGTGACATTACAAAGTATGAGTGTCATACTCTAGGTGATGATGTTCAAGCACAATGAGTGTGAGTGCTTGTTAGCATGAATAATAAGTATGATTACAGTAGGGTTAAAAAGTTTCGTATGAAGAATGTTGCATTATCTACTGTATTATGTTGTCATATATAATTATAATAATATTTAGTGTATCATTTTATACACAGGGCTGCAGAGTTGATAGTTATTGATTATAAGGGAAATGTTCGAAGCTACTTTGTGTCGCCAACTGAGGGTTATCAGGAGAGCCACGTGTTCTCCTTCGGCAAGTTATACCCAAGTGGAGTTACTGCAGCTATCATTCATGGGTAAGACGCTTCTCATTTATTCTTACGCATTTTACATTTTTTATGTTTTCATTATGCTTGTTTGGTATATTGACCATCATGCACCAGTGCAGGTGGTTTCCCATTCTTGGCGAGATAGTAAACTGTAGGGCCAACAATTGATATTTTCCAGGCTGCAGTTCACAACAGTTGCCTAACTCCTACCTGTTAACCACCCGTTGATGATTCTGAGGATCAACATTCCCATGGCCTGAGCTCTGACCAAGCCTCCTAGTTGCTAGTCTGATCAACCAGACTGATGCGGCTGCTTGCAGCCTGACGTATGAGTCATAGCCTGGTTGATCAGGTGTCGTTTCAAGGTGCTTGTTGAGTTTTCTCCTGAACACTGCGAGAGGTTCGCCAGTTATGCCCCATATGTGACTATTATGCAAATCCTGCCAATGCCTTCTGGACTCGTGTGGTGGTATTTCTGAGAGCAGATTTGGAACTGGTCTTTGTAATATTTTCTATGCGTAAATTATTATGTATCTCTCCTGCCTAGGGAGTATCTCTAGAGAATACAGATTAAAATTTTTTAAAGTGATCCCAATAATTTTGGTGTTTTATTGATTGGATTCTAGTGGTAAAAGACCTTTGCATGCTCTCCAGGTCAGCAATTTCCACACATTTGAATGGAGCTGTTAGTGTGCAACAATCTTCCACTCTAGAGAACACTAATGTCTTACAAAGTATTATCATTGGTATGGCATCCCTTGTTTGGAAGGTCCTTGTAGTCCAACCTCTCATTTTTCTTGCCATTGTGACACAACTTTGTTGTATTCTTTAAAAGTAAGGTCTTCCAACATGATTATTCCTAAGTCATTTACATTGCTCTTTCTTTCAATTGTGTGGTTTGAGTGTTTTATATGTGGTTTCTGCTTTGATGTTTTCATTTTTTCCATAGCACAGTACAGTAATTGGAACTTATCCTCATTAAACATGTTATTTTCTGTGGTTCGTTGAAAGCCAAGATTAACATCAGATGGGAGGTTTGCGGTGTCCTACTGTTTCTACTCTCAAGAAAATTCTAGTGTCATCTGCCAAGGATGATACAGTATTATAGTTTGTATCCTTGTCTATGTCTGATATGAGGATGAGGAAAAATACAGGAGCAAGTACTGTACCTTTGGTGCCTGAGCTTTTCATTGTGGTACCATAGTACCCTTTTCACGCCTTGGTAAACACTGCTTGGTAATCAGTCGTCAGATAAAAGTAAACATGCCCAAACGTATCTGTTTTGCATGTATCAGTAAATAAAACCCCAGACTTTTCAGTTGTGAAGAGAATAGTTGTTCATGTAGTGTATATTTATTCTGGCATTTGCATAAAATTCCTGTATCATTCTGCAGTATTAGTATTATGTAGGTAACATTAATGCAGGCGAAGGAAATTATCAGGGAAAGGACAATCCATTACAACTATATAGCACTTGGAAAGGGATCAGGATGAGGATTTGGGATGGAACAGGGGCAGGAATGATGCCCAGCCACTTGGACGGTTGGGGATTGAACGCCGACCTGCATGAAGCAAGACCATCACTCTACTGTCCAGCCCGAGTGGTTGGGTAGTAGAGCAACATAGGTTGGGCAATAGAGCAGATGGAGTATCAAATAAGAATATATTTTATAAGAGTAACATTTGCAAATTTTTATATTTTAATTTTTATGACAATAAATTGCTTTGTTTTTCAGGAGTTTGTTGATAGTGACTGGCTTGTGTGATTTTATGGGTGACAGCAATCTTAAGAATAATGGTCTTGGGCATGGTGTTACTGTGTGGCGCATGGTGAATGATTATCCCTTCTATAAACAGGCAAGTTTAGATATAAATAAAATCCAGAATTGCTACAGTTTGTGTATTATTTCATGACATTGATATTGACTGATAACCTTGTGTATATTTTACAATACATACAGGAAATTTTTTTCCAGCTGAATATATAAAACTTGAATATATTTTTATTCATTGTTTATATTTAGGCATTAACAAAAATTGTGGATTTATGTCTTTGAAATATTTATTCCTACTAGTTAATTTTATATTGAATAAATAAATAATGGTTCTATTAATTCAGTCTTTTAATACAAATGTTATTTTTGTCGTAATGTATAAATAAGGGACTTTGGTATGCATTTTATTTTTTGCTTAGCATTTATTTTAGAGGTATACTAATACTGTTTAATATTTTTACCAATACTAAAATTATCTTATTAAATGAATCATCTATGCAACTCTAGTTTTTCTTAAGGCTGTTGTTATTAGAATACTCTGCTTAGCTTTTTGTAATGGTCTCATTACAGTACTGTGTTTTGTTTGTTTTAAATCTTTTCTTGCTTCTACTATTGTTTTATGTTTAGCAATTAAAGTTTTACTTAAATATTTTTACTTTATTTGTAGGTACCAACAATTAATGAAGAGGAATATATACCTCCCAGTTTGGGTCTATGGAAACGTTTGTCTGGATATCGATCAGCACCTCATCATGACTTCATTTTCCAAATGTGTGTGTCTCCCACTGGCCGTCAGTTAGCTGCATTACACACCTCAGGCAGTCTCTCCATTTGGGAACTTCCATCCCTGCGCAAACAAAAATTTTGGCCCCTCCTGTTGCAACCACATTATGATGCTGTCAACCCATCCTCATCTGAATATATTCCATGCCAAAAACACCGACTCATTCAGTACACAGGGCCACTAAAGAATCACCCAGCAGATCTTAGTTGGTGGTCAGATGCGGCAGTAATCCTAGCTCGGTATTCTGGGGCAGTGACTGTAAGCTCTGTCAACTCATTAAGGAACTTACTTGGAGAATCGCCAGAGTTTCTGGAGGGTGTACCACAGGTAGGTAACAAGAACCTTTTAAATTATTTTTGCAATATATAGTCAGTCACTTATGCCTCTTTGAAAAATTGTGATGAGCCCACTTGAAGAAGGCAAATGTTTTTAGGGATGCAGTTATATGTTTATCATAATGGGTAAATGCAAAGACAAAAATTGCCCACTCAGAGTTCATAAACTTTTAGAAAAGGAATTAAATCAGTTGTGATTAGTTCTTTTATTAGTGGAAGACACAGGTAACTAAGAAAAGAATTGGTAGTATGAATATTGCATGGCCATTCTTGGAAGAGGGGAACATAATTTGTGGTTTCAGGAAAGAGGTTTTATGGCAAGAGGCCAATGACTAGCATGAGTACCTCCCTTCTCGAATAATACATCATATTTTGAGGTATAAATCCCGAACAGCCAAAATATGATGTACTATACATCATAGCAGCTTGCAAAATTGAGGGAGTTGTCATTTTTTTATTCATGTGTACTCAAGTTAGGTTTGGGCAGTTTAGTACATCTTTTCTGGAGGTAACCCATTTGTGGCTCCCTGAAGCTAATACACTGAATCAATGTCATATTATTAGGTGTCATCAGACGTGGAGTTCTTATTAGCCCGCCAGGGACCATGAGCCAGAACCTGACCGGTCGGCCGAGTGGACAGCACGCTGGACTTGTGATTCTGTGGTCCTGGGTTCGATCCCAGGCGCCGGCGAGAAACAATGGGCAGAGTTTCTTTCACCCTATGCCCCTGTTACCTAGCAGTAAAATAGGTACCTGGGTGTTAGTCAGCTGTCACAGGCTGCTTCCTGGGAGTGGACACTAAAAAGCCCCGAAATCATCTCAAGATAACTCAAGATCTCAAGATAACTCAAGATCTCAAGATAACCTCAAGACCTCCTCAGAGAGGTGCCATTATGAAAACCTTTTATATAAAGGTATTCATGTCAATCACCGCCAAGGGAAGGCACCCAGAAAGTCGGCAAAACAAAACGGACTGCAGCATGGTTAGAAATGAGACTGCAGCCTCAAAACCGTCAAAAGAACTTCCCCCCAACATTGTAAACAAATGATCAAAATTCGTAAAAACTATTGCGCATTACTTTACCCCATCTCTCTCCTTGTTTGGTGAGAGGATGGTGGCAGGCTAAGGTAGGTGGTGGTAGGTGGAGGGTGGCAGGCTAAGGTAGCAGGCCGCTCCACCTTCATTTCTTATTCTGATGGATGCCCAGTGTCACATGTTCTAGTCATTCTGGCTCTGGTCTCCTATTTTCTGTACATGTTGTTTGCCTTTGAGGCATTTTTGTGCACATTTGCATAGCGTGAGCCAGGAGTTTAGTGTGCTTGGAGCTACATGTGTTCAGGGTTCTCTTCCTTGGATGCTCCATTAGTGCTTCCCTTGCATGATCAGGGTTGTCTTCCCTGGGGGTTTGGGATATACTCCGTTAGGGGGTCGACCCTCACCATTTAAGTAAGCCAGGGTTGTCTTTGACTGTCCATCCTTCCTCCGGTTGAGTGTTTATTGTTGTTGGAGTGCACTGTGGTTTGCACGACCTAGCTGGCACGTCAGCTTTTACGACTGGTTGGGTCTACAATTCTCCCTTGTTTTCCTCGTTCTCCAACGCAGTTGGAGCAGCTGGTGGAGCAGCTGGCTCTTATTTTCCCATGCTTGGTCTCATGGTTCATGGACGTTTCAGGTCGTGTTCTCCGGCCTGTGGTGGGGGTGGGCGGCTCCACCTGCTCTCGGAGGTTCAGAGCTGGTGGGGCAGGCTTCTTCCTCTTCGCTCCATCAGGTCATATCTTAGAGAGGGTGCGTTTGGGTGTGGCTTAAATGACTACATCCCTCAAGTGGGTTTCTTACTTGTTTCCAGTTCCATCATGGAACTGTGTGGATCTTTGATTCATTCTGGGATTTGTCCCATCTGAATCGCTGTATTCCTTACCCCTCCTTTCGTATGATCACTCTGTCCCAGGTCCGGCTTGTCTTGGAGCCGGGTATGGATGGTGTGTCTGGACCTCCGGGATGCATATTGGCACATCCCCATTCACCCGAGGTTCAGGGACTGGTTAAGCTTTGTGGTGGGGCGGCAGGCTTACAGCTTTCATTGCCTTCCCTTTGGGCTGAATCTGGCACCTCGTGTTTTCACATGTCTTACCCGGGTTGTGGTGGTCCATCTACGTTTGCTAGGTGTTCAGGTTTTGGCCTACCTCGAAGACTAGTTGGTGTGGTCTACCAGCCAGTCAGTCCACTTGTCTGCTCGCTAGGTGTTTGCTTCTTTCCCAGCTCGTTAGGTGTTTGCTTCTTGTTAGGTTAGGGCTCCCTGGTGAACTGGAGGAGTCCCATTCGGTTTCATCCCAGGTTTGGACTTGGCTGGGCCTTGTTTGGGTTTCTTGGACAGTGTCCGTATTTCTCCCTCCCGCGGTGTTCCTCCGGCTGCGGTCCCACCTTCGGATGTTTTTGAGTGGGTCCCGAGTCACTCGGTAGTTACTTGAACAGCTGTGCGGGAGTTTGAACTTTGCTGGGTCAGGTTTTACTTCACAGTTTGCTCTAGTTCCTTTGGGGCCGTTCCGCCGCTCTCACAATCATTGGGTTCATCCACCAGGAGCCTTGCATCGGTTGCTGCATCTTCACCCTTACTTCATTACACACAGAAATCACAATGGCGTGATGCATCAAATGAACAAATCCACAAGGGCCGTGACGAGGATTCGAACCTACATCCGGTAGCATCCCAGACGCTGCCTTAATCGACTGAGCTATGACATGGTCATGGAAGAGGGAGAATGGCCTATTGACATAGCTTGAGTGCATGGGGGTGTTGTGTAAAACCCTGGTTTGTACCTTGGAGAGGCTGCAGGATCCAGTAAGTTCAGTAGAACTTCGGTTTCAACTCTTTTTGACCAAGTCGTAGCTCAGTCGATTAAGGCAGCATCTGGGATGCTACCGGATGTAGGGTCGAATCCTCGTCACGGCCCTTGTGGATTTGTAATTTCACGTATGTTTTTCCACCTCTTAACCTGCTCATGTGCTGCCTGAGCCGTTCTGGTCTTTGGACCGGGTGCTCTCATTTTCTCTCTCCTCCTCCTCAGTTTGTTGTGGCCCCTTTGGACCAAGATTATATTCAGAAGGCTTTGTTCTTGTTGGATTTGGCCTCTGGGGGTCGGGTAGGTGAGCTTCGTGCTCTCCTCTGACGTAGGGGTTTCTGCTCTTTTTGGTCCTGGTCTATGTTTTGTTTGTTTGCAGCCGTCTCCTTCTTTTCTGGCGAAGAATGAGACGGTGGGTGTTTGGAGAAGAACGTGGGTTATTGATGCTTGGCTGGTCAGGCTGGGGGTTCGTCAGGCCAGAACCTGGCCTCCCACAAAGAGGCGGAGCCTCTTTGTGGGGGGCCAGGTTCTGGCTCGTGGTCTCTGGTAAGCCAATAAGAACTCTTCAACTGATGGCACCTAGTAGTAGACACTGATTCAATTAAATAGCTTCAGGGAGCCACAGGGGCTTGCCTAGAAATTGTTTTTTGTGATACGGCAACTTGAGAGGACAGGCTGGTGTGCGGTGAGGTGAACTGATAAGACGGATAGATTTCCTCTGAAGTACATAAAGAATTTTGGTAGGGTGGGAGCTTGCATGCATGGTTATTTAGTTTTGAAATTTTTTTAAATAAAATTATCAAATTAAATGTTTTCAGCAGATTTATTAGCTTAGCATTTATCCTTTCCATTACCAAGAAAAAAATTGTAACATTGTAAATTTTCATTCAATTTTTCTGAATTACAAATGTCCAGATTATGAATATCTTACACATTTATTAAAAACAATAATGGATTTGTAATGTAATGATTTAATTAAAATTCAATTTCATGTTTATAAACTTTGGGCACTTTGCATTTGTCATGTTTTTCGTGTTAGTGTCACTGTGATGTTATAATTGTAGAAAACTTAACATGTTGAAACATGTGATTAAAGGTCTGACATTATCACATGATAGTCAGCTTAAATATAGAGAAATATATTATTGAACATGGAGATAAATTATCCAGTGCTAAGTATGGTGATTAGATCAAAATAACTAAATAGAAAAATGCTTCTTCAATTGTAGAGTTTTTTCTAACATACTGTACTTATATTTGTATGCTTTATGCTCTATTTTGCAGATAAGTGAAGCGTATGATCGAGGTTTTCTGGGGCTGGAGGTAGAAAGTAGAGTCAACTCCAAGCGATTGTTAACTACCTCAAATGAAGGTTCTGATGAAGAGGAGTATGTGGACTCTGATGAAGAGGAGGAGTTGTCTCTTATTCAGAGGTCGAGTCGGCTTGCTAAGAATGCCCTCTACTGGGTCACAGATGCAGAGAGGTAATGATCTTGTGTGAATAGTTAAACTTTAGAGAACAATTGATTTTTGACAGTGAATTGCCATTAATATAAAAAGGGGTAGTAAATATTGTCTGTTTTTAGATTATAAATACAGCAACAGTGCAGTAAAATCTCTTTAACCTCTGGGTGGCACAGCTATTGATAGCTGACATCGCTGTGCGCAAGAACAAAAATTCAAGCTAATCTTTTTTTCTTCTAAGATTGTTAACCCCTAAACTGCGCAACGCACCTGCAACCTGCAGGCCCTCGTCTGGTTTGCGCAATATGCCTCCGGGTATTTGTATTTTTCACGTTCCATGCAAAACGTCCGTGGCTACATGGGGTTCAGTCTGGTGTTGACAATGGCTGTAAAGCGGCTGAAATGTTCATCTTCCTTTCCAATTTCTTTGTGGATTTCCCCATACAAATGATCAATGTTTCGTGATCGTCAATTGCGTGCGTGTGTGTGTAATTACCTAAGTGTAATTACCTAAGTGTAGTGTAGTTACAGGATGAGAGCTACGCTCGTGGTGTCCCGTCTTCCCAGCACTCTTTGTCATATAACGCTTTGAAACTACTGACTGTCTTGGCCTCCATCACCTTCTCACCTAACTTGTTCCAACCGTCTACCACTCTGTTTGCAAAAGTGAATTTTCTTATATTTCTTCGGCATCTGTGTTTCGCTAGTTTAAATCTCTTGTTCAACCTTGAACCCAACCCAATCTCTTGAACAACCTCTTGTTCTTAAAGTTCCAGGTCTCAGGAAATCTTCCCTGTCAATTTTATCAATTCCTGTTACTATTTTGTATGTAGTGATCATATCACCTCTTTTTCTTCTGGCTTCTAGTTTTGGCATATTTAATACCTCCAACCTCTCCTCGTAGCTCTTGCCCTTCATTTCTGGGAGCCACTTAGTAACTTGTCTTTGCACCTTTTCCCGGTTTGTTGATGTGCTTCTTAAGATATGGGCACCACACAACAGCTGCATATTCTAGCTTTGGCCTAACAAAAGTCATGAACAATTTCTTTAGTATATCGCCATCCATGTATTTAAAAGCAATTCTGAAGTTAGAAAGCGTGGCATAGGCTCCACGCACAACGTTCTTTATGTGGTCCTCAGGTGATAGTTTTCTATCTAGAACCACCCCTAGATCTCTTTCTGTATCAAAATTCTTTAAAGATTTCTCACATAATATATAGGTTGCGTGGGGTCTGTGTTCTCCTATTCCACAGTCCATAACATGGCATTTATTAACATTATATTCCATTTGCCAAGTGGTGCTCCATATACTTATTTTGTCCAGGTCATCTTGAAGGGCATGACAATCATCTAAGTTTCTTATCCTTCCTATTATCTTAGCATCATCAGCAAACATGTTCATATAATTCTGTATACCAACTGGTAGATCATTTATGTAGACAATAAACATCACTGGTGCAAGAACTGAACCCTGTGGTACTCCACTTGTGACATTTCTCCATTCCAATACATTGCCTCTGATTACTGCCCTCATTTTTCTATCAGTCAGAAAATTCTTCATCCATGTTAGAAGCTTACCTGTCACCCCTTGTGATTCAATTATGTTCTTCAAACAATAAAAGAATATTTTTGCTGTTATTACACTATATACACACATTATATATAAGTGTCTGCATGTTTTGTTCACCATAACTGTACAACTAAGCTGGTGTGGTGTCCAAACAGCATAGTGGCCACCATACACTGTGTGAACTAAGTTACACATCAGCCAGCTGACGACAAATCCTTCCTCTCCAAGATTACTCCTCATCTGCCTAGCACTGTGAACATTTTGAACAGCATTGTGTTCACTAATATCTGAATTTTGTACACAGTCTTTATCCCAGTCAGGCTCTTCTGTAAAACTATCATGGCTAAATAATATCAGTAACATATATTTTGACAATTTTAAGTGATGCTGTGGTCACAAGGTGAACAGCAGTGCTGTTAGTTAATGCTGCATGCACCAGCCTTGTTTGCTCACTCAATATTGAGGTCTTCACACCCGGAAATGGTGCCCACAATTTTTTTTTTTTAAATGATGACTGTTTACTGGAGCCCTGAGGAAGCTGATGTGGATCCCATGTAGCCATGGGACTTTTATAACTTACACATTACAGTACTTTAAAAAGTATATATATATACAATGTGCCATGCATGTAGTTTGACCAAAATCATATACAGTACTGTATATACAATCAGCTGGTCAAGGGTTAAACTTAACACTTTCGCCCGGGCATGACGCAGCATTGCGTCATCCGTTTACTGTTGGTAATACCGGGGATGACGCAGCATTGCGTCATCCTCTTTAAATAATCGCCAAAAATCAGGTTTTTATCCGATTTTTTTGGGACTGGTGTTAAAATGTGCACCGATGTCTTCCCATTTTCTTTGTTGAGCCTCGTGGCCCTCAGGTGACTTGGCATACGCCGTGGGCCCATTGTTTTCGCTCCACTGTTGTGACCAATGTCGCCTCCCCTTGCATCTCAAACGTGTGAACATTTCGGCTATTTTCCGTGGCTATATTTCTTACTGCGGCTTTAGAAACTATCTACGCTTACTACACGATGGATAGTGATCATGAACAAGGCCCTTCCAGGAAGAAAATTGCGAAAAAAAGGCTTGAAAAGGGAAGGAATTGGGAGTGTAGCTGGAAGGCGTCTGAGCGCTCACTCGCGGCTAACGCGTGGCTCGTCTTCAACTCGTCGGCGGTTGGAGCGTGACCAGGTTCTTTATTTTATATGCTAATGTTCCTCTAGAGAGTTCTATTGCGAACCCATTGAGACCAAAATGAAAGACCTAGGACAAAAATTGAGGTGACCAGAGTGAAAATAGTGAAAACATTTTATCGCGTTTGCGCGCTCCTGGGTAACTCGTTCGCACTTTCTCTGATTTTCTGTGGGGAGCCTCTATGGCTCTGTTACGACCCTGGGTTCTCCAGTGGAAACCAGAGGTCAAAATTGAGCTATTAAACTTCCTAAGTAGTACAGTTGGCGCATTTCGAATGGAAATTGTTTGTATCTTCCCTGCCAGACGTAAGACTATTATTGTTTCTCAAAGAGCATTTAAAGACTGAGCTGGGGGTTGATTATTAAATAATAACATAGGCACCAACTTTGCTTACTAATACTTTCTAATCATTCATAAAGTAACAATACGTTGCATAGGGGAAGATCTTTAATGTGCTTAGCTGCACGATCAATTAGGCTCCTCCCGGCACCACAACATGAGGGAGGCAGCTGGTGGCTAGCTCGGTCTTCTCTGTGGCTGGTGTGGTGCGGTTAAGACCTACTCTGTGGCTGTATCCCTACTCTCCTTCCTTCTCCTCTTACTTATTTCCCTTACCTGAAGTTCCTGTATCCTTAAACTAAGTACGGGGCATTAGTGAGTGTGCCTACTCTGGTAGTAACTATTGGTGAGACCTGGGGTTAGTATTTGCCAGTGTTTTGTTTACCCTAAGTGTTGTGTTTTGTATTAGGGTACCACATGGTCTCACTACCCTAAGCTGCATCCAGCTTCAGTGCTTATCCAGTAGTACTTTACCCTAGCTTGTTATTAGTGTAAACCTTGTATCCTGTCTATGTGGACCAAGGCTTTTAACGTAAGATAGTGTGGTAGAGTTATTATTATTATTGTTATTGGTGTGAGTGTATATGGGGGGTTGTTAAGGGGTTAATAAATAAGTACATGAATTACAGAGTATTTCTTCTTCCAGTGTGGGAGCGCAGTGATCAACCCTTAGACTAACATATATGGTCTTGTAGCAAGTTATTACTACTGTGGATAGTTTATTTTGGGGGCCGGGCCTTTTAGCTCTCCCATATTTGATACTCTTGTCTTCTAACTACCTTTACCCCTGAATAGTACCAGTACCCCATAGAAGCCCCACTCATATCAGTTGTAACAGGCTCCCTGGAGCTTATCGGGCTAATGTATGTTATATTAGACCGGGACATTAGCTAAGGAGTTCAGACCAAATCAACAAGGTGTTTATAGAGGAATAAATCATAAGGACGAGTAGGGTCAACATGACTAGGATCAAAATACTTAGTCCACATAGCAGGACCTAAAAAAAACCAGCGTTGAATGTAATGAAACGCCATTTTCTGGGTGAGCCCTGGAGGCTCCCTGGAGCTTATCGGGCTAATGTATGTTATATTAGACCGGGACATTAGCTAAGGAGTAAGGACCTACCAGGGACCAGCGCCAGAACCGGGCCCCTTCAGAGAGGTTTCAGGGAGCAATGGCCCTGGAAAACCCCTTTGTGGTTGGGGTTTTCCTTATCTGCCATCGACCGGGGTTAGGCACCCAGAAAGGTAGGCATAACAAAACAAACCCCACATGGTAAAAAACTAAAACAAAAAACCGAACAGAGAGGTAGAAACTCCCTACACTCCCAAGGAAACAAGCAAACAAGCAAACATCCCACTTTACTGCCGCGCTGATTGTCCGCGCAGCCCTCCCCACCCCGAGAAGGGGAGGGGGAAAGCCCTGGACCTACCGCACCGGCTGCCAAGCTTCAGTTCGTAAGGTAATGTCAACCGGGGCGTTTTCCCGCGGCTCCGGCTCTTTCAGCAGGTCGGATCAGTCCTGTACGTGACTGATTCGGCCTTCTCCTCGGCTCTTTGCGTCTGGTATTTTGACGCTGGTATCACCATCTCTGTGGTGTTCAGGTGGCTTTGTTGATGGTGTCCCACCTGCGAGCTTCTTGGTGACAGTATGACGTTCTTGGTGTTTCTATGCACTTTTTCTTGCTCTTCATAGGTTGTCGTCTCTTTCGCATCGGGTTGTTTTGTCTTTCTTGGATTTTCAGAACTTCAGTCATTTGATGTTTTTACTGTCGCCTCGTTTTGTGCGGCGCTGGCGGAGCCGCTCCGGCTTGCGTTCGGGGTGGACGTCACATCTGCCCCTTTCGTACGCTTTCTCATGTTTTGTTTCACCTCCGGCCTGCTCCCGGAGAGTTGCCAGGGAGCCCCGGAGG